ATAGAGATCCTGACAGTCATATGATCTGGAAGTCAAAAGGAATTTTATGAATAGTAAAATTAACACATTCAGTATGTGACGTTAAATGAGTGGCATATTTAAATTAAATAAAAATACAAATTTAGTTGATATGCATGTATATGAATTTGTGATTTCATCAATGTGGATAATCCCTCCAACAGTAGAGATCACAACCTCTTTTTATCTCCTCTTGAGTAGGTCAGACCTGCACTTTAGGAAAATCATTTTGGCAACTAAATGGAGCATAAATTGGATGGTAGAGACTTGAAGCAGGAAGACCAATTAGAAGGGCATTGGAATAGTTAAGTGAGAGGCATTTTGTTTCTGTTTCATAAACAGATTTTCTCAGGATGGTGAGGCTCATTTTCTTCTAAACTGGTTTTTGCTGTTTTGTTTTAGGAGGTGATACTGTTCATAATTTTCTCTCCCCTTTTCTCTAATATTTTAAAAAATGAATTCATATTCTAAACTTAACTACCATGTGTCTCTGGTAAGGAGGCTGTGTCAACAAGACAAAGCAATTTCTAGCATCTTTTAGCCTCCTCTTTGTGACAACTGTTTTGCATGGGAATCTTCAGGTCTTCATTATCCTAAAAATCTCTCTAAAGGTTTGGGTTTTCCCTTCAATGGATAAGATTTCCTCTTTTCTCAAACCTACTTGGGGGAGACTGGCTTTTAGAATAGGAGGAGAAAGGACCTAAGACCAGCTTGCATAACCCAGATACCCCGTGGCAATGATTTCTGCCATGGAGACATAACCCTGGATACCACCTAGCACACAGATACATGCTAAGGAGGATGCCTCCAGGTAAGGTCAGATCCTTGCAGTTTGGACCAAGAACAAAAGAAGGTTCTGTTTCAAATAATCAGTGGGGTTTTCTTCCTCTCCTGGGAGAGTCTGTTGCTGGCAGTTTGGAGCTTGTAGTTTGATCATTTCTCCTCAGCTTGCCTTCCCCTAACCCACAATGAGCCGAGCTGCACCAGAGAGGAGGGGTGGCACCATCGCAGGGAGAGACAGAGAGACAGAGACAGAGAGAGAAAAAGAGAGGAGAGGGGGAGACTGAGAGAGACAGAAGACAGAGACAGAGAGAGAGAGAGAGAGAGAGAGAGAGAGAGAGAGAGAGAGAGAGAGAGACTAGACTCTTTACTTGTAACTTTGATTCTAGTAACGAGGCTCTCTTCATGAGGAAATAGCTCTTTGGGGATAGTCTGACTAGAACAGAATGAGATTTCTGGTTGTGACCTTTTGTTGTTCAATCTTCATTTTTGAAGAGAACGATGACATCACAGGTGATGTTTTGACCTGGGTGTGAATTGGATTTAAGGGAGGCAGAGCTGTGCAAAGTCATCAGCCTCAATCTCTCTTCCTGAGTCATTGAAGTCCAGTGAGGAGACCAAAGTCAGGATGACTGGTGATGGTCCAGGATGCAGTGGATGACCTTGGCATCTTCCATGTCTGAGAAAGCTCTAAGCAGTCCACAGCACCTGCTTCAGCCGCCTTCATGGCCTTTGAAACAAAGTGTTCTCATTCACCCATTCTACTGGGGGAAGTCTTCACATACTTGGGATAGACATGTGACCCTTTCAGAATAATGGGAAAGTTGCTCAAGGTTTAACTCATCCCAACTCTCCATCCACAGTGCAACCCTTGCTAGAAGGCGTTTTATATGATTTTACCCCCTCTTTTTTTAAGCTGTTTGTATTTTCTGATTTTAAACTATAATTGATCATAACTTCTTTGTGATGCATCTCAATATATTAATTGTATACAGAGGAGGACTGTAATGGAGGATGAAAGTTAGTAAGTTGGTTTGCACAAAACAAAACTACATCAGGAGGGCAGCTAGGTGGCGCAGTGGATAGAGCACTGGTCCTGAAGTCAGGAGGACCTGAGTTCAGATCTGACCTCAGACCAAACACTTGATACTTCCTAGCTGTGTGACCCTGGGCAAGTCATTTAACCCCAATTGCCTTAAAAAAAAACTACATCAGACAATGAGACCATTCCTTAGAATGCTATGGATCACTAGCTGGAGGCAAGTTGATTATAACAGTTTTGATTATTAATAATTTTGATAACCTTCCCAAAAGGTAGAATTCATCTAGATTACAGCTTTTTATCCCTTATTCTGGGCAAAAACAAGCTATTGTTTAAAAGGGGTTCTATGTGGCTTGGAGATCAGCCCCTGCTTCCAGCTTCCATTCTGCTCCAAGTGTGCCACAGGGTGCTGAGCTTGGAGTCAGGAAGGTGTGGAGTCATTTCAGTCCTTTTTGACTCTTCATGACCCCATTTGGGGTTTTGTTGGCAAAAAGTACCAGAGCGGTTTGACATTTCCTTCTCCAGCTCATTTTACAGATGCAGAAACTGAGGCAAACAGAGATAAGTGACTTGCCCAGGGTCACACGGCTAGTGTCTGAGGCCAAATTTCAACTCACAAGATGAATCTTCCCAACTCCAGGCCCAGCACTCTACTGTACCACCTACCTGCCCCTGGAGACAGGAAGTCCTGAGTTCAAATCTAACCTCAGATACTTACAAGCTGTGTGACCCTGGATAAGTCCTCTAACCCTTTTTGCCTCACTTTCCTCATCTGTAAAATGAACTGGAGAAGGAAGTGGCAAATTGCTCCAGTATCTTTGCCAAGAAAACCCCAAATGGGGTCATGAAGAGTTGGGCAAGACTGAAAGAACTGAACAACAGCACAGTAGAGCAGGGCATAGACCTAGGGTAGGTCTCGCCTCCAGGGATACCTAATAGGGGAAGAAAAACTGAAACTGGAAAGAATCAGCCCCTCCCATTTACCTGGTAAGAAAAGTAAGTTTTTTTACTTTCTCACAAACATTCTCTATTTCAATTAATTATTCTTGCCAGCAAGGTACTAAGATTAGTTCCTCTTAGGCTGCTAAACAGCTGTTGTCAGCACCCTCTATTGGAGTCAGCCTGGCCTGGGGTCAAATCCTAATTGCCAATAACCCTACTTGTCATCTTGGATACTTATCACTTCATTGCTATGATCCTTGGTTTACTTCTCTGTAAGTAATGAGGTTGGTCTCAATATTTTCCAGGGTCCTTTCCAGCTTCAAACTTTACTGTATGAAAAGCAGCAACACTGATTGTAAAGCAGTGAGTAAAGTACCATGTAGTTCTATAGCAAATACTTTACAGTGATCTCAAGAATGAAGATAAATTTCTGCTTATCAAATCTGAGAAACAGGAGATTGTTGGAGTACACTTGGGGTGTGACCTAGGTAAATGCTTGGAGGCAGGAGATGACATGCTAGATTCAGGGAACAACCTCGAAGCAAGTCAGCAAGCATTTGTTAAGCCTTATTATGTGCCAGGCATTGTGCTAATCACCAGTGATACAAATATAAGTGTAACCCAAGTCCCGAAGCCCATGGGTATGGGATTCTCTCCTCACTGGTAGAGATCAATGCCCTACGCCTGTGTGAGGGGTAGAGAAGAACAGACAGGAGAGAAGATTGGCAGGCTTTCTGAGTCTCTGCAGTCACTTCAGGTGCTTCTGGCCTTCAACTTCAAGAGAGAAGATGGAAGATGACAACTGTTCTTCCTTGCTGAAGGGAAAAACCTCTGGGAAGAAACCAACATGAAAGAAGCCAACAGTCTCCATCATGCCCCTATCCCTGGGTTGCTAAACTCCAGATTTCAGGGACTTTCCCCTTGACTGAGATCTGGGACTGACTCTCTCTCTCTCTCTCTCTCTCTCTCTCTCTCTCTCTCTCTCTCTCTCTCTCTCTCTCTCTCTCTCTCTCTTTCTTTCTCTGTGTTGGGCTGTTACCTCAGTCCCAAAGAGAGAGCTTCGTCATTCTGTATTGTCTGGTATATATTCTCCTATGTATAGTTTCTTTACTTTCTGTTTTGTTATTGCTCAAAACAAGCCTTGGATATAAAGGTTGGAGCATTAATGAATAATGATCAAAAGTTTAGCCTGATCCTGAAAAGTGTATCTCTTAGACTAATAATATTTAAGGGAGCAGAAAGAAATCACTTTAGGTGCTCCCTCTTTATCAGGAAAGCAGAGGGCTAAACTTTTGGCCCTAACCTCCTGCTTTCCCTCCCAACAGGAAGTAAACCCTCCCTTGAAGGGGGGGGGTGGGAGATGGGGAGAATTGTCTACAGATGTCTATTTTGCCTCCCTTGAGCCACAAAATGACACCTCCATGCTACTTGTAGGGGACAACCTCACTACACAAGCAAAAGGAAAGACAGTTCCTACCCTCAAGGAGATTACATTCTAATGGGGAAGACAGCACATAAAAGGAAGCTGAAAAATGGGGAGTGGGTGAGAAAAGGAAAAATACTTATAAGGGGGTATTGTGGCAAAGTCCAGAAAGTCTGAAGCAGAGCCATGAGAGGAATCAAAGATGATAAACCTAGGACTCTCTAATTCCTATCCTTTATGGCCCCCTGCTTTGGGAACCCAGAATTTAGGCTATATATTCTTCATATTACTGGCCAAATAGATTTCTCTGAATTGCCCTGGGAAGGTATTCCGAAGGTCCTTTGGGAATACAACCTGATTCTAAGCTGACTCTATGACTGTGTCCAAATGAGTGCCAGGGATTGCAAAATACTATAGAAGCTCTGAAGAGGAAGGAATCAAGGGCAGTAATTATATCATGCCAGAAGTGGGCCTCCAGTAAGCTGTACATTGAAGGATGAATGAATAATATTTAGATAGAAGGATAGAAGGTTGTTGTCCTTCATTCTGGAATAGGACCAAAATGATATCACTATGTTGGAGTCAAGGTATAGTGTTCTGGGACTGTGGCTGATCAGACCAATGCAAGCTCAGAATGCTGTACCAGAGGTTGGGCACAAATAGTCCATATGCTGAGATAAGTACAAACACAAGGAGGTTCAGAAATAGGGAAAGGTTACCCATCTTAGAGGATTCTGTATAGGAGTAATAATAAGGCTAGACAATTGTCCAATTTTTAGCTTTTATTTGCTGGCCAAGAAGTTTGGACTCTATCCTGCAGGCAGTGGGAAACTACTGAAAAAGTATTTACCAGGTAAGTGATGTGACTAAAGGAAATTAGCACCATAGTTTTTACAGTTGTTTTTATAGTTGTTTACATAGTTTATAAAGGGCTTTTCCCCAAAATTGTTTAATTCCTACAACTCTGTAAGACAGGTAAGGGAAGAAATCCTCTTTTTATGGTTGAGGAAACATGTAGAAGCCCTGAATTCTCAGAGCTTTTGACATAAGAGTTCAGCAATCTTCATACAACATGCAAGCTTCTCAATGTGGAACATTTTTGTAGAGGGAAGAAGGCTACATGGAAAAATAATAGTGATTATTTTATATAGAGGAAAGGAGATCAAGGGAAAAAAACATGGAAATAGGGAAGCATCTAAAATTCCATCCTTTTCCCACCTGTGGAGGCAGCTGGTGTAGAGGAAAGATGAAATTTCCAGATTTGAACACAGACAGGCCTCCTTCAAAACCTGGTTTTGTGTTCTCTTTAGCTTTTTCAGCCTCAGTTTCCACATCTGTAAAAATGAGAGCAAAACTTGAACTAACCCCTACAATGCCAACTATCCAGAATCATTTTTGCCTCCTTTCAAAATCCCTGAATTGGTGAGGACCCGTGGTAACCAGTATGATGGGTGAGCCCATACTAATTTTCCATCCCAACCTCCAGGTTTCAAAGATCAGCACGGTGGGCAGCTCAGGTGTCTGAGCGGACAGCCTCCAGCGCAATCCAGGGCAGTAGAGAACGGGTTGCACTGGCCCAGATGACCTTGACCCACCGAGGGGTTTGGGAGTGGTGAAGCCAGTAAGAGCTCTGCGCTCTTGTGGCTGCCCCGGCGGTCTCTGGGTCTGGCAGAAGGACGTGAGCTTCTGTCCAGTTCCTGGCCAAGGTCGGGGCGGCGCTGTTCGGAAGAGGGAGGAGCTTCAGGCGCCGTGGGTGGAAACCTAACAGAGCCCCTGGGGCCAGGACGCGAGTGGCTGCAGTGGGGTGGACTGGTTAGCGGTTTGGGCTTCGCGCCCTGCTCTCTGTGTTTTGCCTTTTGGACAGTAAGATGCGTGCATAAATGTGAGTGGAACAACAGGCGGGGGTCTCGTTCTCCAGACTCTGGGAAGACAGAGCTGGGTTCCCAAGCTGGACCTGAGCCCCACAAGCCCCCAAGTCCCGGCGCCTACGAAACCTTGGGTCCCTTCGGAGCTCTGCGCAAGGCAAAGCCAGCCAAATAAGCTGCTTGGCGGTAGGTCTGTGGCGTCATCACTGGCTCTGAGTCGGTCCAGCATTATCTTGGAAAGTTGCTCCTTTCGAAGAATTCCAAAGCGCTACCAGCTGCAGCCGAAGGAGATGCTGCGTGTCCAAAGCTGCTTCCCAGCGGGCTCAAGGTGCGTTTGTCCAGCAGATCCGGGGTCTTTGGCTCTGTAGTAGGGAAGGCGCCTTGTCCGGTCTTACCAAACGGGCGTAGGGACGCACCCTTCTTTGCAATTATAACTCGTTGGGGCTGTCTCTGGGCATTTGTCTCCTTTGCCTGCCTTTCTCATCTTTTCTCCAGTCTTTCCCTCTATAGGCCCTTTTACTTTCATTAGACTCCAGTCTGCAAAGGACCTTCGATGTCATCTGCTTCTAATCCCTCACTTTCTGGATGAGGAAACTGAAGCCCAGAGAGCCTAGGAGACCTGCCCAAGGTTACTCAGGTGGCTGAGCAGGGGATTCCAGCCCAGAGACTCTGACTCTAAAGTCAGTGATGTCTCGGGCAAGACGACTGCTCACGGTACCTATTGGTTATTCTGACTCTTTTTCTCTTTAAATGTGCCAGTGTTTTCTTCCTTTCTTACCCTGCAAGCGCACACCACCAAGATCAATTAGCATAAGCGGTAGAGACTTCATTCCTTTAAACGCATCCCCTGTTATCTTGATGAGAAACTTTTTGTAATTTGACATTTACTTTTCCCCAGCTTCCTCCTGCAATATAGTGAATTGATCTGGTCACTAAAGGGCAGAGACCAGAACCTTATTTGTATCACTAGCTCAAATAATGGCACAAAGTAACCATGGGAACTGGCAACCTTACTTTTTATTCATCTCCATTCTCTGAGTATTTAAGAAATTTGTCCTTTCACTTATAAAAAAAACTTTTGAAACGATAATTTTTTTGCTTCCTACTTAATTTCCGAGAAGTTTCCACTGTTCTTTCATGTGCTGGCTATCAGTCTTTGATTATGAGCCCAGGTATATCATTTCCTCTCCCCCAAAAGAAAAAGAATTAAAATTCAATTAAATTATAGGTTCTGATTTCTTCCAGTTTTAAAATGAACAGAAATAAAACCAGTTTCTAAAGACTTCAGAACTCGTGAGCTTGAGAAGACTGATAAAAAATGGCCTCCTGTCCCTTGGCAGAAAGGTGATAGACTGGAGATGCAAAATGAGCCACACATGTTTAGATAGGGCCAAAGTATAGATTGTTTTACTTGATTGCCCTTATTTATTATAAGGGGGAGCTTATGTAACTGAGCACCATTAAAATAAAAGACCAGAATGTTAGGAGAGTAACCATTTGGCAAGTTCCAAGACTGGACCATAAGGGAAGAAATTTTAAGAAACTCAAATGTAAAGAGTGCTCAGAAGCTAATGATTTTTACTAAAAACAAACAACTAAAATAAATACCCAATAGTGTAAAAAAAAATAAAGGCTACATTTTGGTGCTTGCTCTGTAAATGTTATATTTTAACCTATTGAAGAGAATGCATGGGAAATGATTTTAAAGTTATATTTATTTACTGTTTCTTCAGGAAATTAACTTTTGTGGGAAGTGGCCAGAAAAATATACTCTAAAAAGAATTCCCTACAGTATAGCCATGGCAGAAACGAAAATGTGGAAGGAGGAAAGAAGTATGTTCTGAATCTGTACACTAATTAATAAGAAAGAGTCAGAGTGAAAGGATTTAGTAGCAAGGAAATGTCAGAGCATGATCAAATTCTAAAGAAAATACAAAGGAAAGCTAGTCTATTTCAAGGTGAAGGCTCAAAGACAGACATCGAAAACTGTAGATTACACCTGGAATATAGAAACAATCTTGGCAATTATTGAGCCAATGGAGGAATTTGGAAGACTCTAAATGGAGAAATAGTTGAAAGACTAGCCAAATATGAAAATGTGTATGATTTTTAACATTCACATCATAGGAAATATAGATTGGGGAAGATCCTCACATGATCATAGATTTTTCTTTTGTAAATTCATTTGACGCAAATGTCATTACTGCCACAGCACGGATTGTGTATCTGGAAACTGATGACTATGATGGTGAAGTGATTTGCTTGAGGTCACACAGCCAGAAAGAGCAGAGCTAGGATTCGAATCAAACACCTAAGATTCCACACATGATGATAACTACCACCCTTTCCACTTAAATGTGCTAATGTCTTGTTGCCAAACCCATTTTATCATTATTTGCTTCTGATTTTTCCTTGCTATTCATTTATTAACTATTACTGACTACAGAACTTTATATTACTATAGGCACAGTAGAAAATGCAATATTAACTGGAAAACACAGTTGCCGTCCTCAAGGACCTTTCAGTTCAAGCGACAAATGGAATAAACCTAAATATGTACATATACAAGAGGTGTCGCTACAATACTCTGGTCTTTCTTCAATGTGGGATCACTTCCTAAGTGAATCCACTTTATAAAAGAGTCTTTTCAGTGTGTAGGTAACTAAAACTGTTGGCTTGACTTTTACCTAGTCCTCCTGGATGAATAGTGCTATAATGAATTCTAGTGTTTAAACTCCAATGATAAAAACATGCATGGCATTGAACCAGCTATAACTATTCTCAGGTAATAGACAGAAGCGCCTAACAGTAAAGAAGGCTAGCAAGGAATGTGCTGTTATGACTGAGCCCAAGTGAGATATATTTGGAAAATTTTAGAGCAAGAGGAGAAGCTCAAGCTGAGTTTTGAACATGGGGGAAAGGGAAAGGAGAAGGGAAATGAGTGTTCTAGATGAGGTGCACAGCATGAGTAATATTCTAGAATGAAGAGATGGAAGAACTTAGTTAGGATCATAGATTTAGAACTGCAAGGAACCTTAGAAGCCATCCAATCCAACTCCCTCACTTTTACAGATAAGGAAGTTGAGGCATAGAGAAATTAAGTGACTTCTGAGGTTAAGGTCACATAGACATTTGGATATTGTAGGAACATGAGTAGACAGAGTGCTGAAAAATGATTAGTGCTAGTTGCTGAATTAAGGGGTTAGGTAGACAATCGTAAAAAAAAAACACAGTCAAGTATTTTAGTAGGATTGAAGAGGCAAATAGAAAAGAAAATAAGAATTGGGTTAATGGAAAATAAATTCACACTGATATCTTATTTTCCAATAAAAACATTGCTTTCCAATTTATAAATATCTTCAAACTTATATATTAATGGAATGAAGAACAAGGAAGAAAATTATTTCTCTTTTAACTTAAAATCATAGAACTATAGAATTGAGAGGGAATTTAGAGGCTATCCAGTTTAATCTCCCAACCAATACAGGAATTACTTGTCAAATATTCCTAGTAAGTGGCCAGTCAACCTTAGTTCAAACAATTTCATTGAAAAGGAGCTTACCACCTCAGAAGGCAGGCTTTCCTTTAAAATTACAAACAACAACATTAATTGAGCCAAAATCTGCTTCCTTGAAACTTTTCCCCTTTCTCCCCTGATCTTCCTTCTGCCCTCTGGAAATGTACAAAGTTGGTCTTTTTTTTCCCACTTGACAACCTTTTAGATACTTGAAAATGCTTCTATTCCCTTGTAAATCTTTTCTTCTCAGGCTGAATATCCCCAGATCCTTTTAACATTCCATATATGACATGATTTCCACATGCATTACCAGCCTGCTTGCCTTCCCTGGATAGGCTACAGTTGTGAAGGTTCCTCTTAAAATGGAGGGCCCAGAGTCAAGCATAGCATTCCAAATGTGAGTTGTCCAGTATAGAGTGCAGTGGGACAGTTTACTCTGTGCACTTTACTTTTATTTAAGATACCTAAGATGATATTACTTATGTTTTGGCAACTATGTTTTGATAGATAGATAGATAGATAGATAGATAGATAGATAGATAGATAGATAGACAGACAGACAGATAGATATTTATAGATATACATTCTATGTCTCATGTTGAGACAAGCTACTAAAAATTGAAATACTTTCCATGTGAATTCCTGTTAAGCCAAGTGAATATCCCCACCTTCTATTTTTGCCATTCATTTTTTGAACCTAAGCAAGGACTTTACCTTTACCACTAAAATTTCTTCCTGCTAGTTTTGATTCACTAACCTACCCTATCCAAGAAATTTTTGGATTCCCATTCTGTCATCTAACAAATTGACATGCCTGCCAGCTTCATTAGTCATTTTTCTTTTTGGAATACTGTTCATTGTTGCTAGGGAAAAAAAATTTGAAAGTAAGGGCTTAAGGAAATCATATTTCATGGTGTTGATGTGAACTATGCCTATTTCAATAATCCTATAGTTATGATCCTTCTGCTTTTAAAAATAATTAGCTTGTGATAGTAATGAAACTCTGACAAAGCACTGACATGTTGGCTCATTTATGGGATTTTCCAGTTGGTATGGTAATTCTGCTCAGCATAAGGCAAAAAACCAACCAAACAAAAAGCCTGATAAGAAGATTGAAAGTTTAAATTAAAACTTTTCTTTGGAAAGCTTACTTGTGTATGCCTATATTTGATAAAATACAGCCACATGTTACACTCCTGGTTTTCTCTTCTGATCTCCTGTGTTTCTCCTTTTTTATTTTATTTTATTTTTTAGCCTTGATTTGGTTGGTGAACTCTTCCTTCCTCATAAAACCATATCCATAGAATGATCATGCCCTGTATACATGACGTAGACTTTATAGTGAAGAAAACAAATTAAAGCTTTATTTAACCAGAATGGTTAGGGAACCCCAAGTTCTGCTTACTTGGGCTTTCTGGTCATGAAATGACAGAACCTCAGGGTCAAAATGAACCATATATGAACAAAAATGATCATGGCAGCTCATCATCCAGCCTCTGTTGGAAGACTTCTAGGAGCAGTCTTCCAAATGTGCGCTGGAAACCCATTGCATTTTTGTGTGGATCAGATTGTTAGGAAGCTCTCCCTTACATCATGATTCAATTTGCCTTTTTTCAACTTCCTTCTCTGGCCACTATTTCTGACTTTTGGGGTCAAATAAAACAAACATAACCCTTCTTCCACATGTTATTTTGGTCCCAACTTCAGGTAAGAGAATTCTTAGTAAGGAAATTCTCTCTATCAATGCAAATGAATGAATGAATGAATGAATGAATGAATGAATGAATGAAGCATTTATTAAGCATTTAATTGTGCTAATCACTGGGGATACAAAGAAAAAAGTCAGATAGTTCTTTCTCTCAAGGCGATCACTTTCTAATTGGAGAGAGAATACACATGGAGGGTTTTTAGCTGCGAAGCAAATGGAGTAGTTCTATGGTACTTAGGATGCTGCAGCAAAACAGATGGTAATGTCTCTTCTTAATGCCATTTCCACTGATAAAAGTATGTTTCTGATATTGAACCATTTGACAATGCCAAGGACTTTGGTAGCAAGAGCTTTCTTTTTGGGGTTTTCAATAGATGTGGCTGTAGCACCCACAGGACCAATTGTCAGGCTACATCTCTATAGGAGTTGCTTTCCAGGATGATAGCTATGGACACTGAGGAGAAAGCATTGCTATTCCAAAGGCTCTTGGATTTAGGGATCCTGGGCTCCAATGGCGTCTGAGGAAAGATGGTGGTCAAAGCAGTGGCCTTGCTGCTTCAACTAGGCTGGCTTCCCTATCCTCTGGGCGGCAACTGGTTGATAGTTGATGGAGATAACTGGGCCTTTCTTCACAGGACCTGGCTGTGAGTACTGGGCTGAAAGGAGAACTGGTGGTCAGACTGACAACTCTTCTGCAATTTAAGGTCTTAGAGAGCTGTTGGGAGGAAAGAAGAGATTAAGTGATTTGCCTGCAGTCACACAGCTAATATGTATCAGAGGCAGAATTGGAACACAGATTTTCCAGATTCGGAGCTCATCTCACTATCCAATTAAGCTAAACATCCTGAGTTCTTTCAGTGGATCCTTACACTGTGTGATCATGAGTTCCTTCACCATACTTACTACCCTCTTCTGGACTCTCTCCAATTTATCAATGATCTCCCTTCCTAAGATGTGGCTCCCAGAACTCCAAACTCCAGATGTTATTTGACCAGAGCTGTGTATTAAAAGATTGCAGAGAACAGGAGAAGATGGAAAGGAGCAAATGTCCCAATTTTAAAAAGAGCTGAGAATGGAGCCTGCAAATTATACACCAGAGAGCTTGATTTGGACTCCAGGCAACATTCCAGAATGTATTCTTGAATAGATAATTGGAGAATAAGTAGACAGTTAAGTTTTAATCACAAAATCTAACATGACTATCAAAAACATGCTAAATAAATGACATTTACTATTTTTGGTCAAGGTTTAGTTTACCTATGTTAGAGGGGCATTCCACACCCTTCCACCCCAACTAATGTAATTAAGAAAATGCTACATACCTTCACTCTGCTAGTTTATTGAGGTTAGAATGCCTTTTTGATTGAATGGTAGAATCATCAAACACTTAAAGGTATAAATTATGCATACACAATTTCTATAACATCTGTCAAATTCATCAAAGGTGTAAACCAGATACAAATTGAATGAAAGCAGATGATGCCACACAGGAAATGTCTTGTGGCTGGTGAATAGAATAAGGCACTTTCTATGGGGCTTAGACAAAACATCAAACCAATATGGAATCTGGCATTCCAATAGCAGATCAGTCTAGTGGTGGAGCCACTCTAGCCAAGCTTCTTAGAAGAAATTATCTGGAGGAGAGGAGATGGAAAATCTCAATCTTTCCAAGCCATCCTCACCAGAGAAGGCACTGGTGAACTTCAAAAGGTCAGAATATTTGGTCTTTTCCAATATTTGGACATCACTAGCAATGTCCCCTACTTAGTAATGGCTGACCATAGCATCTGCATTGGGAGCTGAAGACACATTAGACTCAATTAAGAAGCACAGCTTCAGAACTCTACAAGGGCACCAACTCTTGGAATTTAGCAGAGAGCTATACAACCAAAGGGGAACCCTCCACAAAGGGAAAAATGGGGTTGTATCCAATGAGGAGCTGTGAGGTATATGGATAATGGCATAGATTACAAATTATTAAATATGCAGGTGATACAAAGTCGGGAGCCATAGCTAACATGTTGGATGACAGAGTCAGAATCCCTCAAAATCCCCACAGTCTAGAATACTGGGCTGAAATTAACAAAATGTAATTGAATGAGGACAAATATGAAGTATTACATTTGGTTTCAAGAAATCAACTTCACATATGCCAGGCAGTAAAGCATAATTAAACAGAAGTTTGTCTGAAAAAAATCTGAGGATTTTAGTGGCCTGAAACTTAGTATGAGTCAGTACTGTGGTATAGTAGCCAAAAAAGCCAGCACTATCATAAGCAACATTAAGAGAGGCATAAACTACCAGCTTAGAGGTTAAAGTCCAATTTTATTCAGCCGTGGTCAGACTCTAAGTAATGTATTCAGTCCTGAGAATCACATTTAAGAAGAGCATTGATGAGCTGGAGAGTGTTGAGAGGAGGAAAGCAGAATAGAGAACGGCTTAGATATCAAGCCATGTGAGAATGAGTCAAAGGAACTGAGGATGTTTAAGGCTGAAGGAGAGTTTGGGGTGGTGTGGGTCCACAGTGACATGATAGCTGTCTTCGAGTATTTGAAGGTCTGTCATGTGGAAGAGGAAGTAGACTTTTATTCTTGGCTCAAGGGGGAGGAGATGGTTGAAAGCTGGAAAGAGGCACATTTAGGCATGATGTAAGGAAGAGCTTCTTACTGATTGAGCTATCTAAAAGCTTAGAGGGCTACTTCAGGAAGCAGTGCATTCCCCCTTTTTGGAGGCCTTTAAGCAAAGACTGGATGACCGTTTGTTAGACACTGTTGGGGGATTTGTGTTCAGATAGAGTTTGAATGAGATGTTCTTTGTTAGTCCTTCCAACCCTGATATTCTTTGATTAGACCATCTCAAAGGTCCTTTCTAGCTTTAAATCAGGTTATCTGGGGAGATCTGTTAGGATCTTAGGGTGATCATGTTGAACATCAATTATGGTGGTTCCCTACCACAGCCATTATTAAAGTCTATGTAGGAGATTGAGCTAAGTGTATTCATGATCTGGTAGTTGTTTTACTGACAAAATCTTTGCTACATGTTTCTTTTGTTGTCATTGGCATGTTTCTGTTAAAAATGGGCTGCATGATTGAACCAGTTTTTTTTTAAACTTTCTTTATTCTTGGGTTGTTGGGTTTTTTTTGGTCTGTGTTTTCTTTTGCAACATGGCTAATATGGATATGTGTTTTGCATGACAATGCATGTATAATCTATATTAAATTGCTTGCCTTCTCAAGGAGGGGGAGGTGGAAAAGGCAGAGAATTTGGAATTAAAAAATTTTAAAAACATTAAAATTTTTTGTTTACATGTAATTGAGAAAAAATTAAATATAAATAAATATGGACTGCACACAGTCTAAGTCTTGCAAAAATGTTTTCTAACAATAGCATAAAAGCTCTGCAGTAATCATGGAGAACTTTATTACCATTTCATCTGACTGTGCAAGAGGAAACAAGTCATTACCGTAGAAATGATCCTCATCAGCTGTGAAACACAACTCTTCCGTACAGGAAAGCACTGGACAAGAGAGGATGTGAACTTTGGTGTGATTGTTTTTTTAGTAAATGGAAATGTTTGACAATCAACATGCTTTTGTGAACCACTCATTTGCAATGAATTTTTTGTTCACAGAGTTTCCCATTAATTTTTTTACTCTCGTACGAATGAGGAATTGGGTGTGTTAGCTGCAGAAGTAGGTTCACTAGGATAACTTTATTCAGTGGGAAAAATTTGATTCTAAAAAAGATGACCCAAAAAAGAAAATGATCCACTTTTTACTTTGTAAAATATGCTTTACTGATGTCTTTTGTTTTTAAGCCAGTCATTTCCTGTTTGCACCCATTCCAGATTGCACCCTTCCATGTGGCAAAGAAAACAAGCAAAAAATCCAAATAAGAGATAATGTCATATAACATGTGCAATATTCTGTCCTTGGAGTCTCTGACTTGTTTCCGTGAAGGAGGAGATTTCATTCAGCATCTGTCTTGTAAGATTTCCACGGATTTTTTCCATTATTCAGAGTTCAACTACTAAACTTTGAGTGATCTGTTCATTAACACTGTTCTGGTCACTATATGTGTGGGGTGTGTGTGTGTGTGTATGTACATACATGTATATGGATATGTGTAGTTTTATTAGTTCTCCTGATTTTACTCTGTATCAATTCATTCAGATCTTTCCCTATTTCTCTAAATTCCTTTTATTCATCATTTCTTAGGGCACAATAATATCATATTACATTTACATACCATCATTTTCAACCATTCATTAATCCATGGTCACCTACTTTTTTTCGGGTTCTTTGCTACCACAAGCAGTATTGCTGTGAATATTTTGGCATATATTAGACCCGTTTTTTCTGCCTTTGACTTCCTTGGGGTATATTAGTATAGTAGTGGGATTACAGGGTCAAAGGGGGTGTAAAATAAATTTATGTTTCTTAATTCCAAATTGAAATCCAGAAGTGATAGACCACTTCCCAGTTCTACCAAGAGTTTCCCAATTATCCCTTCAACAATGACTAGTTGCATCTTTTTTTCACCTTTGCTACTTTGCATGGTGTAAAGTGGACCTTCAAAGTTGTTTGAGCTTTCGTTTCTCTATTATTGATCTGGAGCATTTGTCGTGTGTTCCTTTAGGATTTGTAGTCTTTTTGAAGACTATTCTTCATATCCTTTGACTACTTTGATATTTTCCACTACTATTTCTCTTCTGATTTTGTCTTCATTGATTTTATATGCCCAAAGCTTTTAAATTTTGTGTTATCAAAATTGTCTATTTTATTACTTCATCTCTCCCTTGTTTGGTTAAAAATTCTTCCCCCAACTTAGTCTTTAAAGGTACTTATTTTCCTCTAGTTTGCTTTCTTTTGTGCTTTCTTTATCTTCAGCTCATTATCCATTTTGAGTTTACTGTGGTATGGGGTGTAAGAGGCTATCCTAACTTTGATTTCTGCCAAATTCCCTTCCAGTTTTATCCCAGTTTTTGTCAAAAAAAAAAAAGTTCTTCCCCCTGTAACTAACCCTAACTCCATCCTTATTGGCTTAGCATTAAACATGTAATTTAATAGTAGCTCACACTTATATAGCACTTTAAGGTTTGCAAAGAACTTCATATGTAGATACATCTACATATGTGTGTGTATATATGTGTATGTGTATATATGTATGTATCTATATATACATATATACATGCCATTTGATCCTCACAACAACCCTGTGAGGTAGGCACTATTATCTCCATTTTACAGATGAGGAAACTGAGACTGAAAGACATTAAGTGAGTTGTCCATAGTCTCACAGCTAGTGTCTGATGAAAGATTCAAATTCTGGTTTTCCTGACTCTAAATTAAGCATGCTATCCACCATACTACCTAACTACCACCAATAAGAGTAGTATCATCATTTTTATCATATTGGCATGGACTGACCTTAAGCAGTGAATACTTTTCTAATTATTTGTCTCCCTTTATTTCAGGAAAGATTATTTTGGCATTCAAAGACCTCTATAATCAATCAATCAATCAATTAACATTTATTAGGTGACTACTATGTGCCAGGCACTGTACTAACTACTGTGGATACAAAGAGGCAAAAGACAGCCTCTGCCCTCAAGGAGCTTAGTATCTAATAGGGGAGAGAACGTGCAAATAAATACATACAAACAAACTATATAACCGGGTAGCAGGATAAACAGGAGATAACAGAGAGAAGGCA